TGACACTGCAGAAGCTTCTTCAACTCCTTCCCTATACATTTACTCAAGCCCTCTTCTTCTCCTTCTTCACCTTCTTCCTCATCATCCTGAGTGTAACATAAGGACACAACCAATGCATCAATATATGTACAAACTGATCCATAAGGACACAAGCAATGCATATATATAAAAGAGATACCAATAGTTGAGGACTAATTACAACAAGCAAAAGCCACTAAACCAAGTACTATAGGTATATAAATTATTTCCAGGAAGTAGCCAATTAAAGAATGCTGAATTCATGTAATCATTATCTTTTAGTCTGTGATTACTAACTACTGACATGCCTCACGTAGATTGGTTAAATTTAGTAAACTAATTCTAGTGCAATGCAAAAAGAGAGTTATCAAAGGGATTTACTTGAAGCTAAGAGATCTTCATAACCTGGTAAATCTTCCTTCATATTGCTTGATTTATTATTTGCTTGTTCCGTTCTGTTGACATGTGTTCAGTTAGTAAAACAATCAATAATAGTATGCACATAAATATACCTACACCTGATTATATGTAACATCTTGCGTTGCTTAATCAAGAATAAATATCAAATACACACCCATGCATAAGTTATACATGTGTGTGTACACATGCGCACACAGATGCAGAGCTTCAAAGTTAGCCTACAAAAAACACAGATGTTGGGTGATAAATCCAGTCCAAAAGATCAAGGAAAAGTCTTAAGCACCAATATGCGTTCAACACTCTTAATAAAAATTCATGATTTATAGCTATTACTCGACAAAAATTAAATTTTCAGTGACAACAACTATTATAACAATAAGTCATAACTTCTAGGTATTAGTAATTGATCCGAAGCAATGGCTAACAGAAGTGTATACCTTAACTCATGAGAAAATCTTAACCAAGTCCCCATAAACAGTGCTCACAGGAGCATAAGGTTTTGTTAGTAACAAATCAAAGGTAATAACAGACCTTATGATATCCTTCTATTTTCTAAACCAAATTCAAGAAGTAGATATTTGAATCATGAAATTTTCAGATATTCGAGCAAAACAAATGTGCAGCATCAGCTACCTATAAAGGATATGACAATAAAAACAAAAGAACAAGTGCTTACACCACACTTGGATCAATGAGTAGTAACAAGTAGACTATTAGATAACACGATATGAAATCTTGTTTCTTAAAGTTTCAGGGAGGATATAAATACTAGCTCTTACCTTGTTATAGCCTGTGATAATCTTTTATATCCTTCACATTGAGAGCTATCGGTCACTCTTGAGAAAATCTGCGAATTCCCCCTAGTGATATATATAAGCTGGACATCTCTTGTCAACTCTGAACTTAAACTAAATAATTGGTTCAAGATTTGGTGGGAACTGCCAGCAAATAATCAAATTAACCACTACTAAATTTAAAGGGAAGATCCACTCACAAGTTTATTAGACCAGTGAGAGACTGGAAAGCATCTGGCAAATCACCACTTAAATGATTAACGTTCACTGACCTACCAAAAACAAAATATAGGAAGATGACAAAGAAGTTGTAATTACTCCTCACAAATTAAGGAAAGGCATATAAAGATTATTAACATGATCTTACATGTCTGATAGAAGTGTTAGCTTGGACAGAGAACTTGGGATGCTTCCTGTCAATTGGTTAGCCGAGAGAAAACTGCCATAGGCAAACAGAACTATAATGAATCAAAAGTGACTACACCCCAGGAAAAAAAGATAGAAATTGCTACAAGGTTTTCCAATTTTCCAAAAACGTACAATGTCTTCAGTGTAAGAGGAAGATTCTCCGGGATAGTTCCACCAATGTTATTATTGCTAAGATCTCTATTACACATTTAACAAAGGAGCTGTCACTGAAAGCTTTCATGATTATGTAATCAGTTATTACAAAGCAACATGAACTAATATGTAGTTAAGAATCTCCAATATACCATAACCAGAAAACAGCATGATTCTTGAGACAATAGTGTCAGTAAATTACAAGCCTGAAAGGTGGAAGTTCACAATGCCGCTACTTACTCATAAAAAAATAACTTAATCATCGAACGCAATCTCTAACTTATGGAGCAAAAGTATCACACGCCTAACATCCACCCTCTTTATAGCATAACATCAAAAAATAACTTATTCTTCCATATCCATCTTGAAAACATGCTGTTACAAAGAACAACCAATGTGTTTACACCCCAAAGCATTGGGTGATAATAAAATATTTAAAATTTCTATACGAGCAATTGAAAAATAAGTCTCAATACAAATTTCTGAAGAATCTTTCAGACCTGATTAAAATGTTGCTGCAACTTTTCTTTTGTCAAATTGATGCAGAATTGTTCAAAGCTGGAAGAAAACATACAGTAATAAAAATCGATTGTGAAAAATTATAAAAACAGGTTCAACTAGTAGCTAGTAAGATAATATCATCATAGTGGTCAGCAAGAGCAATAACTATCACATCAATTCATAACAACTCTAAAGTATAAGTTTAAGAAAAGAAAGGGGGTGACTTAGGAGAGACCAAATTTCTAAACGGGTTCTTGTGTAGACGAAGCTACAAGGAATGGCACAGAGGCCAAGTCTAAGATAAATTAAAACTTCGACTAAGATTCCAACATATCACCTGACCATTTCATAAAATCCTAACAATTTAATTCCAACATATCCCATATTCAGCTTGCAAACGATAATACGATCAGACCCCAGCAAATTTGATTCAAAACATAAGTTCAAACTATAATTTGAAGGAATTTTGCATAAAAATTCAATTTTCCCCCCTCTATTCTGCGGCCTCCAGCCCTCCTTCCAATGCCTACCCTCATCTCCCATCACGCTCACTACCGAAAAACTTACAAACTACGACTACCTTTGCAAATGGAACAAAAATTTGAATTTTTCCTGCAAAATCCCCCAAATTTTCATTAAAAAAAAAGAAAAAAACACAAATCAACAAAAAAAAATTACCTCATCGGGCCGAAGAAACACGGCATTGCCCAAAACAATCACAGCCCCCGAATCATCGAGAGCTTTCACGCTCCCCAACCCCTAATCCAAACTCGAGATCTCACTTCAAACCTTCAAAAACTCCGAATACGAGATCCTTTCTTTCTCCATCGATCTCAACCTCGACCTCGCCATCTCCATCTTCGCCGCCTTCATCACCTATCTCACCTCCGACGACGACATCCTGGTCTCTCCTTCCTCCTTCTTTGGCGGGATCAAGCAATCGAGCCGGATCCGAGACCCGTTAAGGATCCGAACCCGATCAAGTAGACCATCGGCGACGGCAATAGGGAAGTGATCGGGCGGGATCGGATCCTTGTGGAGGAAGCGGCGGTGAGGCCTCTGTCGGATTCGGGTACGATCTTGCGGGTGAGGCCTCTGTCGGAACCGGATCTATACTCATCGTCTCCTCTAAATGTTAACGAATCGAATCGAAGAGGATTTAACAAATGAGGCGAATTTGAGCGAGAAAAACCCTAACCATAGCCCTAGCCCTAATTTCGAGTCGTTCCCAATAAGAGGAGGCGGGAGAGGTGGAGAAGGGAGAGGTGGTGGAGGCCATGGATGGAGAAGGAGTAGAGGGGGAGAGAGAGGTAGGGGGTGAGGATGAGGAGGGAGAGGGAGAGGAGGGGGAGGCGGTGGAGGGAGGAGTAGGAGAGGGGTTACTGAAATTATGGAATTTGGGGATGAATTATTCGTTTTTGGAGGGGAATGGAGTGCATTCCCGGGTTTATTTGGTAAATTTTTTTTTTAAATTGGCTAGGTATCCTAGACGGAAATTTCCGTATAGGATACTATTCTAGACGGAAATTTCCGTCTAGAATACTTGGTTACTTAAAAAAAAAATTTAAATAAACCGAAATTTCCGTCTAGAATGTTTTATCCTAGACGGAATATTCTAGACGGAAATTTTCCGTCTAGTTTAATACATTCTAGACGGAAAAAATTCCGTCTAGAATACGTGTTTTTCTACTAGTGCTCTACATATCTAAGAACACCACATAACATAGGGTATTTAAGTGAGATTATTTACAAACTGAGGGTATTTAAGTGAGATAAATACCTCAAGGTTAAAAAGAACCCAATTTCTAAATGCGTAACTTTTAGAAACTTTAGGGTATTTAAGTGAGATTATTTACAAACTGAGGGTATTTATATACAACGTTTGGTAAACAAAATGGCAAAAAAGTGCGATATTTTGAAACTTTAGAGCGTTTATCTGTAATATTTAAATAATTTGGAGAATTTATTGGCTCGATTTTAAAACAGATATCACTTAAGTGCAAAGTTGGTAAAACCATAGGACATTTAAGTGCAATTTATCCCAGGAAAAATATCTTAAACTTCCAACAACTTCTCCGGAATGTCCTCACAAAATTTTGATAAGGTTCCAAAAAGGTACCATAACGCCATCAGGAGGGAATGTCGAAAAAAACAAGACTGCTATTTGGCTCGCGCGTCACAGAAACAGAGGGTGGGCCCCACTAGCACAGTGGGTCCCACTCCTTTATCTTTCTGTGCGAGTTGGCTCGCGCGTTAAAGCGCGAGCCAAAAAGTGTTTTCCCCCAAAAAAATATAACTCTTCAGCAGAGTATGTACAACGGCGGAGCTGCATAGTGTCCCGTAACCTCACATAACCTCACATCACATTACTAGATTGCATACTTTATAGACATTTTAACTTACGTGTATTTACTACCTAGGACACCATTAAAATTAGGATATGATGCCTCTCAGTATACCCCTGAAGATTGCCTACATCAATAAACTCATCTGCCACTGGGTATATAACACGAGCAAAGTTGGGGGTTAAGTGCAAATTTTAATGACCTCCCTGCCTTCTTTCCCCTTCTCCTCCATCCCCACCTCCTTCCTCTCCTCCTCCTCCTTCCTCTCCACTCTTAAGTTAGATTGGAGGGTGTAATAGGAATTTTACGTTTTTTTAAAGCATATATTCATCCGTGACAAAATTCCAACTTAAATTGGGCATGACATGACCATATGAATGGTAATTGCACCGATCCTGGAATTTCATTAACATAATAATTTCTCCCAAATAATACACTATTATAAGTACTAACACAAGAGCACATATTCAAACCAGCTCTGGTAACAATTTCTCAACAGCTTCAGATGAAAGGGGTATATAGAGGCAATCCTGGCCATCAGAGTGCCTTCTGGTTTTCACCAACTCGTGATCTCTGAACTCTGTGAGATGAGAATTGAGTGTAACCTGGCTGCTGACGAGAAATCGCTCTCGACACTTGGTATACAGAGTATTAATAGGCATACCTAAGAGAAGAAAATAGAGAACCATGTATGATATTCAAAATGTTAGAAATTCGTGGACATGACAAGTATTGTACAGACCTTCCTCCTTTTCATTGGCCAGCTGATACTCTGCAAGTATCTTGAAAACACTCTGTGCGTTTGGGGTCAGACTCTGGAGGACTACTAGAGCTGTTTTTGTTGTTTGAGCAGCGGTGCCAGAGGCAAGAATTAGCGGCGAAAAAACCCCTTCAACCTTGTAGGGTGCAAAAGTAGGAACATGGTACCAGCACCAGTTGAATTGTGTGTGAACCATCTTTTTGTCCCACACTATCATAAAACAACAAGAGAGATTCTTATATAAAAACTATAGGGTATCTGATAATAATACCGAGGGTTAATTGCACATAAACCCATGTAGTATCGTTGTTTAAAGTTATCATCCCTATAGTTTCTTTTGTTGCAGATATATCTGCAGCAATGAAACTACAGGGGTAGTAAGTTCAAAACAGTAATACTAAAGGGAGTCTATTGCGCAATTAACCCTAATATAAATGAAATATACTGTTGCATGTTTATCAGTCATCTGTAGACATAAAATATGAGGAATTATGCAGGCCCTGGATTAGGTCGAAAAGTCATTATCCTAAAGTTCAAGAAGAGAAATGAAGAGGCATGGTAAGTAGATTTGCACAATTATCCAGAATCATGTTTGTTCTCTGTGTAAGACAAATTTTATCAATATAAGATGCTTATTCCTTCATTCTGTAAAATCTAAAAGGCTATTATTATTATTATTATTATGCGGATTAGGGTACTTACAAAGAGGGGCATTGACATGATCAATTGATGCAACCATGCCAACATTGGAACAACTAGCAATCCGTGCAAGACATTGTTGGGTTTCAGGATCCCTTAAAGCAGGTCCATCAATATTGTGAACGACGACACATACAAGGCAGTTGTTCTCATTTGAATGATGTCCATTCAGAAATGAGAGAAGATCTTCCATGGATTGGGAACTAAAAGACTGCTGGGTTTTTGACTTACTTCCTGTTGAACTTCTGTGTTTGCCTTTTAGCTGGTCCTGAAGAACTTCAGCCATAGTGATCACAACCTACAAGAAAGAATCCATCTCTTAACAAAGAGAAACCTGTACGCAACTTAGAGGTACTTATCTCAACTTTACTCCTGTCAGACTTTACGCTTCTATTCATCAAGGGCAAATTAACAATACAGAAGTAACGTATAGCCATATATGAAGTATTGGTTGGAGGCACATCAAACTTTTTAAATTTAAAGAAATAAAAGTCCTTAGTAGAATTGGTGTTCAATAACCATTATGTAGGGGCACATTTAGGCTTGAGAAGCATGATTAGTAGAAGATAAACAATATGATTTCTCACTAAAGCAGAAAAGACTTCATCTAATTTCATTGTTCCTCTTTTCTAGCTGTTTTTTCTCACACATCTGGTTAACAAATTGAAATCAAATTCCTCTTTTTATGTGTCTAATCTAATCTACCTTTATTCAGAGCTTACGGGCTCTTTCCTTCTCATCCATTTGACTCTCCTTAGATAAAAGCCCTTAAGTTGGGGCGCATTATGGGTCCCTTAGAAGGAGTAATTTGCAAGGTTCACACACACATGGAAAATAATCATAATAGTGAGTCATACATCCTTAGGAAATTGTATTGGATATCATATTTGTCAGGGACTGAAATCAAAATGGAACAAATATGTAAATATGTTGACCAATGAGCAAGGTTAATTATAATATAATTTTTAAGAGAAGAAAAGAGAAGCATATAGTTCATGAAATAATACACATTAGCATGTGGGGAAAGACAATACTTGTTTTATGTTAACTGATGGAAGATAGCCATTGACTACAAGTACCCCAAAATCAGTTAATGATGTTGAAGCAAAATCTTCGAGCAAGACTTTCTTAGAACCAAATCCATAGAACAAGAGACCAAACCCACACCTGCAACAAGGAAAATGTTGTTAAGCAAGAATCATTTTTCATGTTACACAACTCGCAAAGAAAACACATTGACCATCGCATACACTTGATCAGGTTCAAGATTCGTGAGGAAAACAAGGACACTTGAAACAAAATAAATAACAAATAATCTGAACCACACTAAATGAACAACAATATACTTGAATTTACAACATAGAAAAGTAAGCAGTACAATAAGTACGTAAGTATGCAAGAACTTGTAAAACCACATGGGGAACTTGCACAGCTGACCAAGACCAACTGCCAGAGAACATATTGCCGAAGAAACCATTTAATTGGCATATCTATAGCTTGATGAGATATTTAGTTAACAAACATTGCATTTAGGGGATAACATTGTGGCAGTAGAATAAGAAGAAAATAGATCTTATGGCGTATTGATTAAACAGGCTACAAATGCAGAGTCATAATCATGCTCATAATTTATAGAATATAAAAAAATATTTCTTCCCTATAACTCTTCATTCTTCGTTTCAATGCTTTCCAACTCTATAATGTACAGTGATGCCAAAGAATATGAAGATGGAAAGCACATGCCGTAAATTTATTAGTTTTATGCTCAATTGTTCCCTAGGAATAACCACCATTGTTGTCTAGTATCACCAAAGCACAACAGCATGCCAATGGATAACCAATGCTGTTCATCAAGAATTATGCACTCTAGTATGATAGCAAATGGAACTTTTATCATAGCTCTAGAATACTAATTAATGGAACCTTAATAATAGCATATTGATTGACGATGATACACTTGATGAATCATGAAAAATTGCATAGCTACCTATGTGCTCTAAATATTAGAGAAGACTGTTGAAAGAAGCACAAAAAAAGTCTGCATATAGTCTACAACTCTACATTATAGAATGAGAGTGTACCTTAACTCAAAGAGCCACTTGGAATACATGTCTTTATACCTTCTTAATAGAGCTTCTATCTCTTTCTCGTGTTTTGTTAGAATTGTTGAGGCTGCTGCTCTCAGGACCTTAAAAAACGTTGTAAGTTATAATACAGATATAAGTTTGAAAATGCACTATTGGGAAACACAATTAGGAACTTAATGCATGAATTACAATCATCAAAATGAATAAACCACATGCATACATGCACATGACTTACACCTGCACAATGCAGAACTACTAAAACGAAATGACATCCTAACCAGTAGAGAAATATGGATATACCACCTGCTTGACTGACTGTTTTGAGCCACCTCCTGCACATATCCTTTTATGTGTTCTTTATACTTCTGTCCTCATTAATGTATTGTTCTATCTAAATTTGTTCTATTCCTTTAATGAAAGATAAATTTGAAGATCAACAGGGTTATTGATGCATCAATTCAATTATGTGTAAAGCCTCTGTAAGCCTCTCTCGACATGCCTACATCAATGAATCAACGATATTGACACAATTCAAGTCTTACAAGCTGTAGCACTTAACTTTCTCGTTTTACGGGAAGTTGAACACTGTGACAGATGCCTTTTACACTGTATATCTCTATTCCTATGAGATTTCAAAAACTCAGTTTTGCTGACAGAGATATTGGCAGTGTCTGTGGACTTCCACATGGTATATTCAATATTCTTTATAATCTTGAATTCCTCAAGCATCCAAGCACCTGAGTTTCCACTGTGATGTTTTAAAGCTTATATTCACTTTCTTCATTACTTTCCACCTTCAAGGAAAAACTCTTACCCCACCCCATTACATTACAATGATATAAGGTTTCTCACCAATTAGAATGGAGTCCCTTTTTTAATCAAATATGCTAAATTGATAAATCTCATCAAGTTAAATTGCAGAGTGCTTGAGTCTTGTAACCCATATGTCAGCTAGGTGCTAACGCCTCGTTTGGTACGCAGGAACGGAGTCAAGTGAGAATGGAAAGAAGGTGTGAATGGAATGAAATAGATGTGAGAATGGAATGCCAATTCTCATTCTCATGTTTGGGCGCGTTTAAAGAATGAAACGGCAATAGCAATCTTATTCTCATTCCCACGTCTGGTATCATTTATTCACAAGTGAGAATAAAATTTAGTTTTCTAATAATGCTCTTACAAAAACACAAAATTTTAAAAACATTAAAATGTGTTAAAAATGACTAAATCATTCAGTTTTTGAGAAAAATAAGTTTTATAGAAAATGATATTTTTTTTCACTCTCCTAGCAATTGCTAAACATTGTCTTTTATTAGTTATTGAAATAAGCTTGCAGTAAACAATTCTTAAGAGGATATTTGTTCAACTTTTTGCTAATCATTCAGTAATTAGCTAGGGATGGTTTTATAGAGAGAATTGAAGAATTGTTTGTCTCGTGAACATGTTTTGCGCGTTTGGAACTTATGAAGTTGTCTTAAGAGGAGATTTATTAAAAAATTTGCTAATCATTCAATAATTAGCTAGAGATGCTCTATCGACAAAATTGAAGAATTGTTTCCAAGTAATCTAACACCTAACACCAAAGATTAAATATTAGCTAATCTAATTGCCAATAGATTACCTAACCGAGTCACCAAAAGATAAAAAATTCTTGTAAAGATTAAGTAAAAATTAGCCACACATATAAATTTAAAAAAGAAACAATGGTTACCTTACCGAGTGGCATCAAGGCGAAGATGAGATTTTTTCTTATGCAGACGCGATGTGGAACTAGGGCAAGGTCGAACAACTATTTTAATATTTTATATCTATTTATATATTTGTATGAGTAGCTAACAATACTTTTTTTATAAAAATAAATTTTCATATGGGAATTTATATCTATTCGTATCTTATAAGGAGGATATAATCAGAAATTATTTGATTATTTTTATTCCCACTTAAGTGGGAATATCAATTCCTTGTTAAATGATTGGGAATGACAATCCCCACATAAAGTGGGAATTGATAAGAAGTGAGAATAGCAATTCTAGCATCCAAATATACATCGTGTTTGGTAGGCATGAATAAAGAGTTGGAATTGCATTCCATTCCCACTCTTTTCCGTGTACCAAACGAGGCATAAGAGTTTGTGGATCATCCTATCTGACGGAACCATTCCTTACACAAATTTTTTAATTTATATCAGTAAGTGAAAGGTTCTATCAAACAAAAATTTAGAGAAATAGAATTACTCTTTATTTTCTGCTCAGAGTTGCATATTCCCACTATAAATATGACTTTTTCTTAGTATAAACTTATCTGAAGCATCAAACAGTATCACTCATCTCTCTCGTAATTTTGGACCTTGGGGGAAAAAATACTGCAACTAATTCAGAATACTACAGAGAGGAGCAAAGCCCAAATATAGCATCCAACTCCCTCCAAAATCTCTCCTTTATCAAATTACTAGTTCATTGTGGCATTCAATCGAACACCAATAACGTAATACAAATCCAAAATAAAATCAATATTTCATTAGGAATATAATAAAATAATAGTAAATTTTCATTAGAAATGTAATACAATAAGCAACTCAAATTGGTTAATTAAGCACCTGTTCATCAACGAGGTCGATGTCAGCGAGCTTGCGGGCGGATTTCTTAGCGGATCGAGATCCACTTGCTTCTCGGGCGAGGAAGTAATTACGAGAGAATCCGAACTCCTCTTCTTCCTCCTCCTCCTCATTTCCGTACTTTGGATCCATTTACCTTGAAATCGGAGCAGATGAAGCTAGGGCTTTTTTCCCGCGCTTTTGAGGACAGTGATCCCCGCTGCGGTTTATAAGTTGATCTACTATGAGTTGTGTGGGCCGTTCCGAATCCAGCCCAAAGGTCATTTGGGCCCAGTTTGCGTTTTTTTTCCTTGAAATGTCCTTTGGGTTAATTTCACATAACCCCCTGAATTAAACACCCCTCTAAACATTATTTATCTGACATATTTTCTCTTAACTTCCCTTATCCCAATGAAATCCAAACATTAAAAAAAAAAACTCTCTTAAATTTTTTTTTATTTATTTGCAAATTGCATGTAGAGGGGTCTGGTGGCTAAAGTTTAGAAGTCAGGAGGTGAGACACCCAAAGTTTATGCGAGATAAACAAAGATAAAGGGGATTATGTGAAACTAACCCATTTTCCTTTTAACTCAATATGCAATAGTGACTCTGCATACTTGATATTTTCCCTTTTTTTTAATTTTGTTTTGGGAGAAAATTCCCTGTTGATAAGTTATCTCAGTTGTGTTTATGTTTCAAAATTTTAATCTAGATAATATGCTATGGCCTTAGTTTTAATTACTATTTTTGTGGGACTTCCACCGAGAAATACACATCATCATAGATGCTTCTATCTAGTTCCATTGACAAAAATATCTCGATTTAAAAAAACTGGCATTTGCCTCCGTAGTTCCTCGATCTCGGAGGTACATGTTTAACAAAAACATGCAAACACTCAATATGCAGTAATGCACCAGGTATACTCAGTTGCGCGAATATTTGTACTCATTGTGATCAGTGAAGAAAATTGATGGTCTATTTTTTTGAATCATTCCAGTTGCACTTACAGTACACAGTGATTCGGCCCCTGGAAGTAAAAAAATGTATGTGAAAGAAAAGAATTAAAAGAAAACTTGATCTCCTGTTGCATACAGGTTCCAGAAAACAGTGCCCGCGAAGTACAGAGCTGCCGTGAGAGTAAGGAAAGCCTGGAAAGAACCTAACCACTGCACGAAATACCCAGCTCCTATTGTACTGATTATAGCAGCCAACGTGCCGATTGAATTTGTAATACCTGTTTCATTTAAAAAAAGAATGTCAAGAATACATATTCACTTAGGGGTTTGATCGATAAAATACATGGATGCTAAATGAAAACGTCATAAACATACCATGAAGAAAACCTGCATATTTGGGAGCAATGTCCTGCAACAACCACCACCAGAAAGGCTATAGTCAGATGGAGAACCGACACCAATACTGACATGCTTAAGTTCTAGATTCTAAAGGCATATAATTGTAAATGGTTGATTGCGGATAGATTCCCTGTAGTACCGTTGTTTTGAACTCACTATCCTTACAGTGTCATTTTGGCAGATAGACCTCCTCAGTGAATTTTATTTTTTATTCATTTACCCTCAGACTCGCTAATTTCACCCAGGGGCGATATCTGATGACTCTTTAAGTTTACGAACTTAGGACTCTTTCAAATGAAGACAAAGAACTCACTTATATTTCTTCAATTTTCTTTCTTCATATCATTTAAATTTTATATTCCAACACGCCCCTTCAAATCAAAATGTCTTTATGCCAAGCATGTCTCTTAGCCTCATGAAAGTTTCACCTGATAATGGCTTGGTGAATATGTCTGCCACTTGTTCAGTGGTGTGACAATGCTTCAGTTCAATGGTGAGAAAATGAAACCGTGTATCTATGTGTTTGCTCCTCCCATGATGTACTGGGTTCTTTGCAAGCTGGATGGCTGATTTGTTGTCCACAAAAATTACGGTCGAGTCTTCTTGTGGATGATCCAACTCCTTTAATATGTTTCGCAACCAAATTGCTTCACATACTGTAGATGCAGCCGCCACATACTCTGCTTCACATGAAGATAAAGCTACAACTCCTTGCTTCTTTGAGGTCCATGAAAATGCAGTTGACCCAAGATAGAAGACATAGCCTGTGGTGCTTTTTCTCTCATCTTGATCACCTCCCCAGTCACTATCTGAGTAACCAACTAGTTGTGCATTTTCATCATATGCATAGAAGAGACCTAGGTTGAGTGTGCCTTTGATATACCTTAGTATCCTCTTCGCAGCTAGCCAGTGAGATTCATTCGGTGTCTCCATATAGCGACTCACAAGTCCGACTCCATAAGTAATATCGGGCCTTGTGATCGTCAAGTATCTCAGGCTGCCAACTAGACTTTTGAAAAAAATTGAATCCACGAAACGTTCGTCTCCTTCTCTTGATAGCTTCATTCCGATGGCTACTGGGGTGTTCACAGGGTTACATTCATTCATCTTGAACTTCTCTAAGATCTCTTTCATGTACTTCTTCTGGGATATTAAAATCCCCTCTTGTTGCTGCTTCACTTCAATGCCAAGAAAATAGGACATCAATCCATTGTCCGTCATCTCAAATTCATTGAACATTGCCGCCTTGAATTCAGCAAGCATCTCGGTACTGCTTCCTGTGTACAATAAATCATCAACATAAAGACAAATCATTAGAAATTCGCCTCTATGGTTCCTCTTCATGTAGATGGCGTGTTCATAGGGACATTTAATGAAGCCGTTTTGATGAAGATAGCCATCAATTCGGGCGTTCCATGCTCGTGGTGCCTGCTTTAAGCCATACAGTGCTTTCTTCAAATGGCACACTTTGTCTTCTTGCCCTTTTATAAGAAAGCCTTCTGGTTGTTGCACGTACACCTCTTCCTCAAGAACGCCATTGAGGAATGCTGACTTGACATCCAAATGATATATATTCCACCTGTGATGAGCTGCAAGTGAAATTAATAGTCTCACCGTATCTAGTCGAGCAACCGGAGCAAAGACTTCTTCATAGTCGATGCCGTACTTTTGTTTGTAACCTTTCGCTACAAGCCTCGCCTTGTACCAATCAACTTCACCATTTGATGTGCGCTTGATCTTGTACACCCACTTGACCCCTATTGCTTTGTGATTTTATGGAAGAGTTGTCAACTCCCAAGTGTCATTCTTTTGGATGGCGTGGATCTCCGCCTCCATTGCTGTTCACCAACAATCTTTTTTTACGACTTCTTGAAATGTGAGAGGTTCATGATCAGCATATAAGCAGAAGAGATTTGACTCTTCGTCTTCTTCTATCTGCTCATAGATCTCCCTGAGGCTTCTCATTTTGATGGGACCTCGTTGCAGGGTAGATTCGCTGCTACTACCTTCCCTAGAAGATGGAGAACCTCTTGCAGGAGAGGGTGTAGAGTGTGGAGGAGTTGGTGGTGTACCTAGTGATGGTTCCTCATGTAGAGACTCATCAGGTTCATTCACCACGGGTTGATCTTCATTGCTCCAGTTCCATGCTTCTTCTTCATTAAAGACAACGTCTCTACTAACAACTAGTTTCTTGGTTAGTGGATTGTAGAGCTTGTATGCCTTCGACTCCTCGCTATATCCGATGAAAATGCATTTTTCACCGTGATTATCAAGCTTCTTCCTTTTGACTTCAGGTACTTGAGCATATGCAACACAACCAAAAATTCGTAGGTGTGCCACACTAGGCGTGTAACCGCTCCATGCCTCTTGAGGTGTCTTGTTCTTCACTATCTTTGTGGGGCATCGGTTGAGCAAATAAGCTGAGCACGCCACGGTTTCTCTCTCTGCTTCAACTAAAACTTTAAAATGCTTGAATGTAGTAAAGACAACGGATTTTTTTTAAGAGTGTACACCCACAACTTTCTACTGAAGTCATCAATGAAAGTTATAAAATATCTATTACCTCCCAAAGAGACGGGATCGATCGGTCCGCAGATGTCGGTGTGAACAAGTTGCAATGGTGCCTTTGCTCTCCATGATTTTCCACTGGAAAAAGAAAGTCGTGGTTGCTTGCCGATTACACAACCTTCACAAATATGATTCGGTGGATCAATTGTTGGTAGACCTCGTACCATGCCAGCTGTAGACAATAACTTCAAACCACTAAAGTTTAGATGGCCGAAGCGAAGATGCCACCTCCATGACTCATTCTCCACGAGTCCTTGAAAACACTTGTTGACTTTCGTGTTTAGATGCAAGGGAAACATGCGGTTCCTTGTCATCTTAACACAAGCTATGAGGCCTCCATTTGTATTTTTCAACCAAAGATGGTTGTTCTCCATATATACTTTGTATCCCTTTCCGAGTAATTGACCGATGCTAAGAATATTACTTTTCATGTTAGGAATATAGTAAACATCAGAAATATACTCGGGCTTACCACCCTTTTGGTAGATTTTAATCTTCCCTTTGCCTTCAATCGGGAGTTTTGAAGAATCTTCGAGGCTCACACTTCCATGAACTCCTTCTGCGAGTTGCATGAAAAGTTCTTTCTTCCCGCACATGTGGTTGCTAGCACTCGAGTCAAGGTACCAAGCATCATTCTCAACACTTGAATCATCATTAGCAAGAAGAAGCGTAGAGTTGTTACCCACATCATTTGTTGCTTCGGCAAGATTGGTTTGGTCTTTAGTTTTGTGCCAACAATTTGAAGCATAGTGCCCAAACTTGTGACAGTTATAGCACTGAACATTCTTGTTGCTTCCACGGCCAGGTGTGTATCTTCCACGATTGCTTCGTCCTCGTCCTCTAAAGCTTTGGGTCTCCACTTGATTTTGAGTGGTTTGTTGTTGGGGACCACGTCTCCTGCCTCTACCACGACCACGACCACGACCTCTTCCTTGTGAGCCTTGATTACTTAGAGTCAATGTTGACTCTAGTACTTGCTCCAAAACTATGGAACTAGCCTTCTTTTGCATTCATTGTTCATGAACTTGGAGAGATCCTAAGAGCTCCTCTATTGAGATCTCCTCCAAATTCTTTGACTCCTCAATTGTCGCCACCACGTGCTCGAATTTTGATGTGAGGGATCGGAGCAACTTCTCCATCACTCGGATGTCCTCCATCTTTTCTCCATTTCTCCTTATTTTATTCACAATTAGAAGTAATCGTGAATAATAATCGGAGATTTGTTCTTCATCTTTCATTTGAGCTGCTTCAAGATCGCCCCTCAAAGTTTGGAGGCGAATTCGCTTCACCCGCTCGACACCTTT